GCTACCTGGAGACTCTAGTTTCGACCTCTTGTCTCCAGGTAAGCCATCGTGTATTTCGCTCTGTAGATACTTCGCTCAATACACAACTTGTCTCCAGTCCTGCCTGTTGAGCTCCGCTCCAGTCTCACTGCGATCAGAGCTCGTCGGCGCTCCTGCCTGCCTCGCTCGTCTCCACTTACTCGCTCGACAGTCAGTTGTAACATCCCTGTGAGTTATCGACAAGTATGCAGGCGATGTGCCCATCTCCGTGTGCCTTCTTGAATGCTGGGAAGAACCTCTCTGTCAACTGAGAAGATTACTGCATAAGTTTGATCCATATACAACAATGGCAAAAATATATACCTGCTTGCAGAAAAGCTCACCGTTCCAGAATCCCTCGTGATTCTTACCATATTCCAATGTAACGCTAGCTTCATGCAGCCACCCAACAGTTGAGCAAATGAAATCGCTCTGGTGCAATCCCCGCCCAGGTCCCTTTTTCCTGATCGGGGACTCTCCATTGAGGAGCCAACTCCAGCGTGCCCCATCGTGCGCCTGGGCCACCATCTCATCATGCGCGACAAGTACGAGACGAGGCTGAACAAGGATACCATGATCCAAGTGGGGATCAGGCAATGCTTCAGTGTCCACAGCACCAACTATGTACCGGATGAGGTGAACACGAATGGCTTGCATTGCGGGGATGAAGCGCTCGTTACGATCCTTTACGACGTCAGGTCGCTCATGGCCATCATAATAGATAGCCTTCCGGTGCTCGGACCAGGTGAAGCCCTCACTGAGAAGTAGGCGGCGCATGGTTGACCGGGACAGTCCAAGGTGACCCGGTTTCAGATGGTATCGGGGGAGGATTTCCATCGTAACGAAGCCCTTGAGCCCGTTGGGCATTTCTTCCGACTTGAGAATACGACGATATTCGCGGGCTTCCTCCATACTGAGCTTGTTGTTCATCATCTGCTTGAGTCTGACAGGATTCTGACTCCATTTTTCAGAACGAAGGTAGGCGTGCACTGCAGCGCGCACCGTGGGATGGGCGAGAACTGACATGACCTTCGCATGCCGCCCACGTTGGGACTCTGGCAGCATCCTCGTCCTCACCCACGCCTGGGTCCACTTGCGGACAAGTCGCGCCCCCCACTTCCTGGAGAACAGGTTGGCTCGTGCTGCCACCTCGGACGCCGCCATCATCCCCTGCCCTTCTGCGTCCATCAGGTGCAAGCATGCCTGAATGGCCCGCGCCTGATAGGCCTGCAAGCCGCTGGCCCTGCCAACAAGGAGGGCCTTCCGGGAGCTCAAAAGCTTCTTCATGTCGACAAGGGCTTTCCGACGGGCCTCTCGAGCCGCGTCTTGGGCTTTCTGGCGGGCTACGCGTACAGGTACGTTGTGTTGTTTTTTGGGTGGGATTGTGGCGGGAATGGCAGTCGAAGGTGTGGGTTGGAACTGGGAGGGGAATGAAGCCTGGAAGGGGAATAAGCTTGGGAGGCAGGGGATGGGGTTGCTGGGTTGCTCAGGTGAGCTGTGACAGAGGGATGGCCTGGAGAGGGGAATGGGAGGGCGGGCCCGGGGGGGGCTCCAACGAGGACTTCAGGTATGCAGCGTTCGTCATACCACTCATCTTGTTCTTGTCGCGCACCATCGGGGAGGGTATCCTCGACGTCTTCTAACATGTCTGACAGGTAACCGTCGAACTCCCCATTGTCGCGACCTCCGCCGCTGCCGTCTTTGTCGCGCTCAACAGCGTTGAGACCTCCGCTGCCGTCGCTTTCGTCGCGCTCAATAGCGTCGCGTTGGCCCGGATGGAGCTCAACGCGATCCGGGCTACCGTCTTTGTCGCGCTTAACAGCGTGGTGTCGACCCAGATGGAGCTCAACGCGATCCAAGCCGCCGTCTTCTCCGCCGCGCTCAGCAGCGTGTGTCACGGACGTTGGACAGACACCCCTTTTTGCCGCCCATCCCCCTCCCCTTGACGCCCACCTTCCATTTTCGGACCATTTCCTTTCTTAGCCCATCCCAGTTTGGACACTGTAGATACGTTCCCACACCCGCATTCTACGTTCCTGTGATCGCCATGCCTTTACCTTTTCCTTCTCGCCCTTTGTTCTCCCTTTGTCATCTTCACTGCCTCACTCTCGCGCCTTGTCTTTGGTTGCTAAGCAGCCCTTCTAGTATATAAGGACCCCCTTAGGCACTCCCTAGTCCCCATCTCGACCTCTTGGTCATTGGGACTAGGTGAGTGACCATAGCGTTGTATCTCTCTCTGATTGCTAATGTATAACTTGGTCATTGGGACTAGTCTGTCGCTCTCTGCGTGAAGACTAGCTTTCGTAGGTCTCGTGCCTTCGTGCCGGCCTCCGCTCTGCCCTCGTCGAGTTTCTTGTCACGTTTATCCCTCTCTCTCTCTCTCCTTCCCTTTCGGCTCCTTGCCGCTCGCCTACGGGGTCGTCGCCGAACATCGACCCGAGTCTACGCGCCTAGTCGCCGCGACAGCGTGGAGTCCGTGGTCTCCTTGCTCCCCGGCATCGGCAAGCAGGGCGTGTCAGACATCAACAAAAAACCTGTTCGTGTTCCAGACGGATGCGCTTCGGATTGTTGAGGGCTTCAACGAGCTCGTCGCGAACTGGCTGCACGGACATGCGGTCGAGGAACGTGGCATTGGACTTGTGCCTCACTGCTGCGATCGCCTGCGCAACAGCCTCTCGTGCCCCAGCGGGCAGGGTCTCTGGCCACGGATTCTCTTCAGGCGGGGCAAATGTCCAACCCTTGCGTGCAACGCGAGCTGTCTCCGACGGGATCTGCATCCGCGCAAAGTCGGCATCGCTGCCT